CTCAACGACCTCAAAGAGATGTACAGTCTAACAAAGAAGACAGCAGATTTATCAAATCCTCAAGAGGCCACATGTAGTGATCATGGAAAGCCTTTGGAGCTATTCTGTGAAACATGTGATACAGTAATCTGTGTTACCTGCTCAGTTCGTAATCACAAACATCATGAATATGACTTAATCACTGACAGTTATACTAAACACTGTCAAAAGTTAAGAGAATGTCTATCACCAGTTGAGGGAAAGAAGGAAGCACTCAAGAAGGTCCTGTCTGCTCTAGCAGAGAGAGAGGGTGAGATCAGAGAGAGAGGAGAAGGAGTCTTAGAAGAAATACATGAAATGGTAGAGGAAAAGATTGGTGTTCTTCGTCAGTCAGAGAGGAAACTGACTGAGCAGGCAAAGAGGGTCACTGATGATAAACTAAAGGTGCTGTCAGAGCAAATGAAATCAGCAGAAATGAGTTTGAATCTTCTGGAGGATGTTAAGAATGATGTGGAAGAGAGTCTGAAGACAGGCAGTCCTCAACAAGTCCTGAGGTGTAAGAAATAGATGATGGAGCGTATGAGTGAAGTTACTGGAGGGATCAATGTGGAGGAGTTACATCCAAAGGAAAAGGCCGACTTTTTATTGAGTAAAGATATCAAATCGCTACATCACATTGGAGATATTATCATACCATCACAATATAGAGTAAAGAAGATTGATCATAATACACCTTCTGGCAAAGCAGTTTCATTTTCACTATCAATGGAGGCACCAGATTCATCTGTTTTGTGTGTTCCCCTCTCTTCTCTGAGGTGTAGTCTAGTACCAGTTGGTAAAGGTGATGAACTCATTCACACTACAGTCACTACCACCAGCACTGATCCTGGAGTGTATAGGATACAGTGTAACCCTTCAACACGTGGTACTCATACAGTAAAAGTGCAAGTATATGATGTACACCTTGAGGATACCTCACTATTCATCCCTTTCAATCCTTACCTTGATAACATCACTCCAGTACGTACTATAACTGAGCTTAAGGGTCCCTCTGGAGTTGCTGTAAGTAACGATAATCATGTTATAATAACTGAGACTAATGGTGACTGTGTAACAATACTGGATAGAGAAGGAAAGAAAGTAAAATCATTAGGAGGGGAAGGAGGAAGTGGTAATGTCAAGTTTTCACATCCTCGTGGTGTAGCCATTACTCCAGACAAATTCATTCTTGTATCTGATAATCACAGGATCCAGAAGATAAGCATGAATGGCTACCGTAAAGCATCAGTTGGTAAGAAGGGCAGTGGACCACTACAATTCAAGTGGCCTGATGGTATAGCCATTTCTCTTATAACAGGACAGGTTTATATTGCTGATAGTAATAATGATTGTATACAAGTCTTGAATCCTGATCTAACCTTCTCTCATTCATTTGGTAGTAGAGGATCAGCTAATGGACAGTTTAAGTATCCATATGGCATTGCTATTGACAGTCAAGGATTAGTGTATGTTACTGATAGTGATAATCATCGCATTCAGAAGTTCTCTCCTGATGGAAAGTTTGTGGGTCAGTTTGGTACTAAAGGATCTGGTCCTGGACAGCTTAATTATCCAGCAGGTATAACAATAGACACTGCAGCTACTGGTCTAGTGTATGTTAGTGAAGCATGGAATCATCATATATCAGTCTTCACTAGTGATGGTGTGTTTGTTAGGAAGTTTGGAAGTTATGGCAGTAATATTGATCAGTTCAGTAATCCTTTTGGATTAGCATTTGATAAAGATGGATTATTGTATGTTTGTGATTTTTTAAATAATCGACTTGTTGTTTATTAAAATGATTATTGTATTTTCACATTCCAATATTATTATAATTATAATTGACATTACTATTGCCCAGTGATTTCGGTGTCATTAAAACTATGTTGTATTAAAATTATGTTGAGTTGTAATTCACAATAATTACATTACATGACTCCACCCTCTGTCACGCCCTAACATACGTATACATAATGCAGACCTGGAGTCAATTACGTATTCAATTACACTCCTTTTGTAAAAATAGGCTCAATCACAGTTACAGCAACAACATACTTTGCAGTGCTTACACTGTGCCTTAAAATTTACATCAAGTAGTTATTTTACATTAAGAACATTTCTATGTGTATCTGTACATTCTGTACAGATACAAATATAACTGATATTTCAATTACATAAGTTGAAGCCTAATTACAATTACAATTACGTAATTGTAATTGACCCCAGGTCTGAGGTCATAATGTAGGTGATACTGCTACTACTATTATTATTATTATTATCATTATTATTATTATTATTATTATTATTATTATTATTATTATTATTATCATCTCCTCCAGTGATAGAGAGGGAGTGTCTGGTAGTGAGAGACTATTACTGGTGGCCTTCAGTGAGACGTCTCTTTGAGTCTCAGGTACTCATTGGTACTTCATTAAGAGGAACCCACAAACTCAGTTCTCACGATCTACTCACATTCATAATACAATCAGCAACCTTTCAAACTAATTAGTGAGTGGGCGGGGCAAAGTGGGTGGAGCAAGAGAGGAGTGAATTTATTTTTTAAGAAAATTGTTTTATTTCTTATCTGTTGCCTACAATTATGTACTTGTAATTCTAGCAAAGTCTAGTACAGACTAGCCTCTATATAATGGACACTTTGAAAGTGTCTCTGTTATACAGAGGTGTCCTTTATGTGGAGGTTATTTTATACATTAAGGAATGTAATTGGTACACTAGGTGCTGTCCGTTAAATGGAGGTGTATGCTATAGAGAGTGTCCATTAAGAGAGACTATACTGTACATCTACTTCTCTCTCTCTCTCTCTCTCTCTCTCTCTCTCCCCCTCTCATTCCCCCTCTCTCCCCCTCTCCCCCCCCAGTCGTTCATTAAAGCAGACCTATGAGTTGGCAATGTTAGAAGAAGGTGAGTTTGATGAGAGGGTGTTCCTTAACAGTTCAGAGACTGATCATGAGGAGGAGGAGCTCCTGGGAAGATCAGATGAACAGAATGAGAGGTACCTCATGTATAGATACATGTACATGTACATATTAGATGAACTGGAATAATTAATGAACTGATTATACTAGAGGAGAGTATTATTATAATAGCTGTAGTGTACTTTAATGGTAAGACTGGGACTGTATATTAGTAATAATAATAATAATAATAATAATAATAATGTCATTTATCTCTTATTAATAAATTTATTTGTTATTATTATTTTTAAATAATAATAATATCATTTAATTCTTTTTCTTATTTTCTTTTCTTTAGATTGGAGCCAATCGGTGTCATTTATCAAGTAATTATTAATACATTATTGTTATTATTATTTATGGTTGTTGTTATTATTTATTGTTGTTGTTATTGTTTATTGTTGTTGTTATTGTTTATTGTTGTTGTTAGTCTCCCCAGTATTTGCAGTATGGTACTCCGTTAAGCGGAAGAGAATATTTATCAACAAGAGAAAACAAGTAAACAAAATTGTAAACAACAACAACACTTTTATCTGTCACTAAAAGTCTCAGTTTTACGATAAAAACAGATCAGCATGAACCAGGACAAAATGACCGAGACTTTACATGTACAGCACATAATGTATCATTTATAATACTGTATAGTGCAAAATTTTGAGGACTGTAAATTTTGTGGATTTCGCTGTTTTTTTAAGATTTGCAGAATTGCTTCTGAAAAATCAAATTATTACGTTACAAGATGTCAGACGTCATAAATTTGCAAAATTAAATCAGCACAATAGATTTTTAGGCAAATTTGTAAAATTTACAGCCCTCAAAAAATTTTTGCTATATGATATTAGCAGGTGGTGATTTCCCTCCATTATTGTGATTAGGTTGACTCCAGTATCAGATGCTAATCAATCAGTGATACAATTACATTTATTATTAGAAGAATCACTACCAGAACCAACTGACATCATCTATAACACGTGCAGGTATATTAATAGTCTATTAACCTTAATATATTAACCAATTAACCCTACGGAGATAATGCAGATAGGACCGTCTTACTATTATTAAAGTTAAATAACCTAATCTTAATTGAAAGTGGGTGTAGTCACAATGAAATAAAATGGCGGCTATCAGCAAGTCTGAGCTTATTTGCAGCAAACGGTCAGCAAGATAAGACTAAACTGTTATCCAAAGACTTTTCTACTATCAATGAAAGTCATACAGCAGTAACAGCACATTAATAGCTTGGCTTGAGGGTTGAGCCCCTTAATGTTTTACATTCTTCTAGTTAACCTTAATATATTAACCAATTAACCCTCTCTCTCTCCCACCCTCTCTCT